GACCTCAACTACAGTGGTACAAATTGTCATTAAACAGTTATAATGGCTTCATGACAGCCAATGTCAAAACCAACCACCTGACAGTTTAATGTAATGTTAACCAATAAAGCTAAGTGGTTTCTTAAGTTTGATAATTAATCTGCTATGTCATGTTTATGACAGGTTGTGTTGTTTTAGTAATGTCAAGTTGTCATGACAAAGACACTGACATGTTATGATGTATTGGTTTATGTCAAGGTGTCATAACAAAGACATCTCAAACAATGTCATATTTGGATTAAAAATGTCATAATTGAGCGAATGACACTTAATGACAGTTGTCATAAACATGCATAAAACTTCCTTCATAATCATAACATGTGTCATGTCATGATTATGAAGGTGTCATGTTAGTCTTATGCCACCCCTTCAAGTAAAGTGTTACCAAACATTTATTATGGAAAATAAATAAATAAAAACAACAATGGAAAATGCTTCATCCAGTAGAAGTACAGTTTGAAAAGTCAAAAAATTAACTGTTGTCAAAGGCTGATTACCAACATCCTCATCAATGAGATGCATCATGCCTCCAGCGTTTTATTTCAGTATTCAGCAAAGGGTCCGGGTCCCAGTGCTTCCCTCATAGATATCACAATTATACGGAAGCTCCTTTGAGGTATGAAGTGGCTTATCCTCCACTGACTCATTTTTCAGGTTGACGAGATGAACTGGCAATCAGGCATGAAAGACAATTTTTTTTGAAGTGGAAGAAAAGTCAGACCCCCATCATGGATAGAAAGTGGAATGAATGAAAGGATCTCTTGTGCCCAAAAGCATTTCATGTAACTGTTTGAAGTGAAAGCCCTGTAGTGTGTATTGTGCATTGTTCTAAGATAGACTTTGGTTGGACATTTATATTTTTTTCTTAGATAAAAAGCATTTCAGCATTACCAGCTAATTGATTGATTGATTGGGTTCTTTAGGTTCAAGGATGTTCAGCTTGGTAGTTAATTAATCTAGAGGGAATTTTTAAACAATCCATGTAAATCTTTAAAGGTCTGCGGCCGGTGACTTTTTGGTAGTTATTATTTAAGTTAGATATGGATTCTTAGATATAGATGTGTGTAGTTTTGAATAACATGAAAGTAACAACGACATGAATTAATTTGGTGTAATGCGGGTGTAATTGACATGGTACAAAAAATACTATTCATTTTCATCAGAAATTTTATCTAAAGTTTGTACATTGTGATCTCTGGAAAACTGGAATTTATAGTAGGTGTCATTCAGTAACCACTTATTTGCAAAGCAAAGAGACATACTGTAAACTGGTACAAGATCTACACCTGAATGAGTTTATGAGTTTATCCATCTGTAGACAACTGTAACACACTAGTAGATGAGCTATAGTGCTATAGGCAGCCGTCTTTTGGAAGACATAAGGACATAAGCCTAAAAGTGTGATGATTCTTCTGTTGGGTTGTATATTAGTCACATTCTAGGTTAGCGGTTCCTAAACGTTTTTAGAGTGTCGTACCCGCTGAGGTCTTTTCCATTAAGGGACAATATTTGCCCCCTTAAATTGATTTTCCAGTGCATTTCTTTACTTTATAAATACCTTCATAAAATAAGTAATGTTTTAAATAAAAAAACATGTCAATAGAGAAATATGTAATGATGGTAATAATGAAGTGATACTTTTAAATATTAAAACCTCACAATACTTTTAAATACTTTTAAACTAAAACCTCCAGTAGTTGGTGGTAAGTCACTGTCTTTCATTCATTCAGAGTTTGAGACTTAAATTGATCTCTATGAACAGTCGTATTGGCTATTTGTTCTCCATGCTAGTAAGTGCTAAATCCCCATTTTAACAAAGGTACATTGTCAAGAATGGCAGTAATGCAGCGCGATTTGCTAAGGCTGCATGCAACCTATCATATGCACACTGACTATTAATTCAATTCAATTCAATTCACCTTTATTTATATAGCGCTTTTTACAATACAGATTGTATCAAAGCGCTTCACAGTGATAACATGAAAACAATATAACAAAAACAATATAACAATATAACAAAGTTTGTTTCTAAAAGAAAATTGCGTCAACATCCACCTAAGTAAGGCAGATCAATAATATTATTGAATATTAAATGTCCCCAACTAAGCAAGCCAAAAGCCAAGGCAACAGTGGCAAGGAACCAAAACTCCATCAGGTGACAGAATGGAGAAAAAAACCTTGGGAGAAACCAGACTCAGTCGGGGGGCCAGTTCTCCTCTGACCAACGAAGGAACAGTGCATGATTCGGGCAGCATTACAAGTCAGATTGGAATCGGAACATTTAGAGTATTTGTCCATTTCCATCTTTTGGAAGTCCAAGTAATCACGCCGGTATTAAGACGAGTTGTTGAGGATCAGTGCCGTCCACCATAGAGAGTCCATATCGCCCGTGCTGAGTCGTCACTTCACAGGCTTTGTGATTGGAGCATCTGAAGTCTCCGTGAGAGGCTGGATACAAACTGGGGCTGACGAACGCCATTTTCTCGGGACTCGCGTCCCGAGATAACAGCAGAAAAGCAAAAAGGGAAAATAATTAGCGTAGCTGCTGTTCATAGTGATGATTTCCATAGCATAGTCGTAAATGATAAAACATGAAGACAGTGACTCTTGCGTCCCAAAATCACCCCCCTCCGTCCCCACTCAACTCAGCCCAGCTTACTGACCTCTACGTCCCTCCTGCTGCTGAGACCTAACCACAATCTCACAATCTCTCCGCAACCCAACCATACGCGCCAACCCGTTGACTAAGGCTGTCGAGCCCCACTGGTGCGTGAATAGGCAGTTTCAGTGGACAACGGTTCCGTATGGCATACTACCTACCGCAACACAATATCTGCCCAACCACCCGTCATTCACGCAATATATACAGGAACGTAATGACTGTAAATACTATGCAACCTATACAAATAACCTACAGTCTCTTCAAGTTTTATAGTATTAAATGCATTTGATCTGATTCAGCAGTGGTATAAAAGGTAAGCATTATGTAAATGCTTGGCTAAAGAGATGCGTCTTTAATCTAGTTTTAAACTGGGACAGCGAGTCAGAGCCTCGAACAATATCAGGAAGGCTATTCCAGAGTTTAGGAGCTAAATGTGAGAACGCCCTCCCTCCTTTAGTCGACTTAGATATCCTAGGAATGACCAGAAGCCTCGAATTTAGTGATCTTAAAGAACGCGATGGATTGTAGGGCGATAAAAGGTCCATTAAATACACAGGAGCTAAACCATTTAGGGCTTTATAGGTCAGTAATAGTACTTTATAATTGATACGGAACTTGATAGGTAGCCAGTGTAGAAATGATAAAATTGGTGTTATATGATCATATTTTCTTGACCTATGTAAGAACTCTAGCGGCTGCATTTTGCACTAACTGTAGCTTGTTTATTGAGGATGCAGGACAGCCAGCTAATAAGGCATTACAGTAATCTAGTCTCGAGGTCATGAATGCATGGACTAACTTTTCTGCATCAGAAACAGATAGCATGTTACGTAATTTCGCAATGTTTCTAAGGTGGAAAAAGGCTGTTCTTGTTGGTGGTATTTTATTACTGCATTTTGCTTGCCCTGTTAGAAATACATGCTCGATTTTAATGTTATTTTAAGGTGGGATAGAATTAATGAATGAATGAATGAATAAATGAATGGCAAAGCATTTTGTTCACGTATCCCCTCTGTCACCTCACGTACCCCCAGTTTAGAACCACTGCTATAGTGCAAACACTTCCCTCCCCCCAAATTTTAGGTGAAAATGCCTCCATACATACTGCTGAACACATCCAAGATTGGTTTCATGAACATCAGGATGCAATCACATGCCTTCCATGAGATTCACCTATAACTTGATCTAAACATTACATTTATGTGTTGATCCCCCCCCCCCACTTTTTTTATTTTTACAAGAGGTCTATTCAACAACAGTATTTGAAATTGAACTAAACCTATAGAACTAACTTGTATTGTTTTTTGTATGGTCAAAGCATCTACCTTTTCCTTTCCAAGTTATCTAGTCAGTGTGATTAACCATATTACTTTGGATAGATTCACACATTTATCAGATTTCAATTTAAACTAAAATCCTGAGAGGATTGAATTTACATGTCTACAATCTGTGTGCTGACCCGCCCTCACATCCATATACTGTACCTAGTGTCTGAATGAGGTGGATTTTTAAACAGGCCGCTTGGCTCTGGAACATTCCGCTGTAGCTTGGAGAGGACGAATAAGATAAACTAGCTGTCAGCTTTCCACATTTACAGTCACGAACCAACTCACCTCGCCTCATGAATCAGACGGATGCATTCTGAGGGCATGAGGAGCGTCGTAAATATTCAAAATATTACGGGTAAAGCAATAAGCTGATACCATATCTCGGTTTATTGTGCTCACAGGTGTCCAACTGAGGGATTAGGGAAGTGTGAATTTAAGAGTCTTCATGTTACTTTTAAATAAATGGTTTATTCTGCATTTATTCTCTTTAGCATTCAGTATTTCACTTAGTTCCCTGATCATTCCAATTCAATTTCAGCAAGTGAAGAACAAATTTATACTCAAATGATGTATTATGCATGTTATACGCCGCTCAGGCCGCCATTTTTTCCCACTTCTCGGAAAGCGATGAAATAGTCAAAACATCCAGTACTGTGGGGTTTCCAGAAAAATTCATGTACTCCCTGGACCTCTGCTTCTCGTAAATACTATACCGTGTATTGTGCACGTTATTTTTTGACAGACATTGTACAACAGATGTATCGTACTATTATTTCTTTCTTTGCCGGCAAGTATTCAGTGAAGTGCTGAATGGTGAAATATCAGCAATTATGGAAGGCGTCTCAGCCAATCAGATTCAAGGACCAAATTAACTTATGTATATAAGACATACACTTAAAACCTTATTGTGTTTTTTGCCTTTATACAACAGGGTTATACTGAGTTAATGCTGTACTTTATTCTTTTGCCAGGCTGCAAAGGAATGTGGGATATTATCGCTTGCTGGCCATCAGCCAAAGTTGGGGAACATGTGGTTATTCCTTGTCCAAATTACTTCAGACACTTCTCTGATCATCATGACGGTAAGTTGAAATCACCATCAAAACCTTTGATGAACTTCAAGGCATTAAGCAACAGTTGTAACTCCTGAAGAAAAGTGTAAAGTGTCTTTTGTTATCTTGTCAGTCGCTGTCATGGGCTGTCACATTGCTGCAAAACTAAAAGTTTAGAGGCACTTCAGTTCAGTACTCCCACACACTCACTGGAGTAGTTTCTTTGATATTAGACTTCTCAAGGAAAACTGGTGTGCTTGGGAAAATGGTAACTCTAAAATGAGAACTTCCTCGTCAGAACGTTAAAAAAAATCTAGCAAGCAAGTTTTTAGTGGTATGTTGTCCTGAATATACAAGTGGTTGACAATTAATAGCATGTTTGCAGAATTCTTAGAATGATGAAAATAATTTTTTTATTTCAGACTTTGAACTATGTATAGACAATGGAATCTGTTCTGTATAATATGTAATTGCAGATATTACAACTGGAGGTTACATTTTACATGCAGAACCACTGCTTTGAGTGGATGCAATAGGTGATTCATTAGGAGGCAAATCAGACCCATTGATTGAGTATGTACTGCCATTGGGTCACGCTTGTTTATCTGATAATTCTGTCTCAGCCACATCTCACCAGAAATGATTAATTAAACTCATTAAAAGTCTGGCAGAATACTAAGTTCAATAGACTCACACAACACACTTTTTTTGCATTGCATTGGGTATTTTATCATACATGTTAAACAAAGGATGTCTTAGTGACAAAGTTCTATAAATTTATATTTATTTATTTTTTAGAATCGTTCATTTCTTTACAAATAACTTGTCTGAGGTCACTGGTGAAAATCTGGGTTTCAGAAATTAATCAGAAAGCTGTAGGATTTTTAAATAAGAAACATAATTCACTAAATGTATTATTATAATTATAATTCTTATGATAATTTGTAAAGGCAAAATAAATGTTATTTATACCGGTAGTCTCCCCATTTTGAATCCCACTGTAAATTGCTCTAATGTAGATTATCTGTTGAATACACTAGTTAACATTCATTAAAATCTGCAATGATGTAGATATGTTTAGGTTTAGGTTTGCAAAAATGTCAGTGTGTAATGCAGAATGTGCATCAGGTACAGTCTACAAGGAAACCGATTCCATAGAGTGGAATTACAGCCTCTGTGTTGGAGGATGTACAGTGTTTCTGCAATGATGAAAGAGGGATGAAAAAGGAGACCACATCTCCTTTGAGGAGCCCTGAGTTTCAGGCAATTATTTTCCACACTGAACACTTTAGGAATTTCCTGTGAGTATGCAAGTAAGATTCTGCCGTTTTTATTTTATTTTTTGTTCATTCATGCAGCAGCTATGTAGTGGTTTATGTAGAATGTTTATGTAAATGGGCACCATAAATGTAAGGATTTGGTCTATATGGGCACCAAATTTTGTGAGTTTAAAGTACTTACAAATCATTTGCAAACTATTAGTTTATTATAGTTAATTCATAGTTAATATATTGTAGTCTCTTTATTGGTAATATATTAATGGGCTATATAGTGAGTTATTCATTCATTGTCACTGTAGTTAACAAATTATTATTGTTTAATTAGCTAGTAAGAGTTGATAATGTTTTTATGCTTTGTTAACAACCATAACTAGTTCTCACTTCAGAATAGGTCACAGAAAATGGGAAAAGGCCATTACTTAAGTGATTTAAACCCTTATTAGACATTAACTGCATTAGTATTTTAAAAAAATGAAATATTTATATAATATATATACTATATACGCCTATGGAGAGTCCTTGTAAACCACATATGCCAACATGTGTGTGTTCTTAATGTATTTGTAAACATTTTAAGGAACACTGAATATGAATGCCATCAATGTCCAATAAAGGTTTGTTTAAAGCTCTTAATTAATGGCATTTTTTTCTATTTAACATGATCTAATCTAAAGTAAGTATACTCCTAACCAATGAACAATTCCTTTACTACGAGTTAATTAAACAATAACAATTGTGTTAATTACCATGAAAATGAATGGAGAACTCACTATTTGTATATGGCCTGTCAATATATTAACAATGTAGAGACTATATAAACCATGAATAAACTATAAACTAATAGTTTTTTAATAATTTGTAAGTACTTTATTACTGTATGCTTATTATAAAGTGTTACCATTATTTTTTATTAACTAGCATCAGTTATATTACTTCTAATGTAAATTAGAAAATCATACTGAGAATATACAACAATGCCAAGGTCTCTGGAAAGAGGTTTGGTTAAGAAATATTTACATTCCACTTGGTCGAGTGAGCAGTCCGATGGTGATGACTTCTTCCACTAGTTGTGCTGGGTTACAATGCAGTGGGAAAAGGAGTCGGAATCTGTTTCAACAGCCTTGAACACGAATCTCTGTGGGATACTGATCTCCTGCAGCACCAAAAGGGGTCCTAAAATCTGGAACATGCAGATGAGGCCCTGAAGTAGGTGCAGAAGGTCCTTAACAATCTGGAACACACAGACGCAGGTACCTTGAAGTGAAGGTCTACTCTCCTGAGCTTAACCTTGTTGTAAATGTGTCTGTATGTCTTTTGCCTCTCTGGCCCTGAGACTTAATCAATCCACTTTCGTCTCTCTGGCATGGAGACTCGGGACATGTTGTAATCGTTACCGTCTCGCTGGAGGAAGACTCTGAACGTATGTTTGATAATGTCTCTTTCCTCACAGATTGGAGGCTCATGGTCGTATCTGTTTTAAGATTCCAAACATAGTTATGAGTGGATTGGATTGATCATTGTGGCATACCTTCGTTTCAGCCACTGCTCTTGCATCCAAAAAGTCCTAACAAGTTTTTATGGCGGTTGGCTTAAACCTTTAGGGCAGAAACTGCATGTGGACCAATGAGAAGTCTTGTCTTTCCTGTGCTTGAGGTGTCAGTTGTCCTAGCATCTTTATCTGATGGTGTTGTACATTTGTATGTGCTAGTCCAGATTACGGCTGACACGTTTGTGAACACACAATTCATTGAATCGATTGTAAAATCGCTTTTCCATGTCTAAAGACGTTTACATTTTCAACACCAAATATAGGCCAATCCATGGACAACTAACAGGCATTAGGACGAACGTAAATAGGGCGCTTGAGATCCACAAGTCAGCAATATTTCTGATGATTTATTGGCGTGAAGTTTCATGCACAATGACAAACAGGAGTGCAACATTCTCGGAAAAAAAAATAAGCAGAGTGGACTGCCATAACATCAATGAAAAACATTACTGCAGGCTTCAACGTGGCTGTGTTTACGATTAGAAATGTCAAACAAATTTTGCCTACGTAGGGGATTGTAGCCCATGAAAAGAGGTTGAAAATAAAACTGAAGGACTAGCCTACATTGAACGTGCATATGCCCCCTCATAGCTGTAGTGCTGCTGTGATATGGGAACTCACGATCGCACCGTTTGCATACCACTTTGTCCTTCTTCATAGTTTGATCTACAGTCCAAAACCCGAAGTGCTTCCATATCGAACTCCTCAAGTTATTAGGGGTTATCGTCTCTCATGTCGCACAGGTTGATCGCCGTTGTCCTCCATTTTTTTGGCAAAACACCAGCAGCAGCCGACTGAAACCGCATTCTGAAACTATAGGCGCATAAAATTGGTGGGAATTTTCTTTTTAGCTTTCTCAACACCTACTGCACTTTCAGAATTCTTTATTTTCTTTTTCTGCTTATTTGTGAGTTTTGTTACATCTATCTTTTTTATTTGTTTAATTGGTTAAAATCGATTCCCTATTTTCGGTTTCGAAACTTGTGTTTGTTGGTCCGATCGATTGTGCAATCGATTTTCGAACGTAAAGTGACAGCCCTAGATTCGATCCAATCGAAAGGTAGCAAACATTTCTGCAGTGAGAGAGGGGCCCTGCCATAAAACTGAGCCCTGGAATATGCTGTTCCATATAGTTATATGATTCTTGTCATAGTCTTTCCAAGCTAGCAGTCTGGATAGAAGAAGCAGCCCCTTCGTTTAGGAGAGAGGTTAAAAATCACTGCTGTGTGAGAGAGTTTTCTTGCCAGTGACATTTCTAGGCTAAAGGAACATTGGAGAAATGAGTGATTGAAAGTCTTAAGAAGAGCCTACGCTGATGACTCACAGTAAATCGATGTTACGAACAAAGAGACAGATTTTTCTTTTCAGAGACCTTTATCTTTTTGCAAGATGATCACTTTAATGAGGGTCACTTTATATTACAGTTTTTCTCGATTGCTTAAACACATTTCTTGAAACTATGCCTCGTATTCTCAAAACAGTAAACACAAATCCATAACGTCTCACCCAATTCTCCAAACATCCTATTTTCAGGTCAAAATGAAGCTCTACACTCAAAACCATTCACTCTTGCTGAAAAACCAAACTTTGCCCTCAGACAGGACACACAAGCCCTCAGAAATACACACACTACAACATAGTCTTACACACTGGTGCTGTAAATTCAAAACAACATTTCCAAAACTGGTAAGTCATGTTGCTTGTGGTCCATCCATCTTTTTTTTTTTACTCGCTTCTACTCAAGATGTGTGTGAGCATCATATGACAGTAAAAGAGCACACAAACCTTATTCAAATATGGTTCAAAGTATTGGAATGGTAAAGAGTGTTGGTACATGCCTCCACTCAAGGATACAATATGATGAACAAGTCTAAGAATGTTCCACATATGGTTGAAATACCATCATTGGCCTAGAAAGATAACATTCTGGGAGTCAAGACTATAAATGGGGAAGGATGCCCTCTTCACTGTCACACTCAGCAGCCACTCTGTGTGACTGTACGACTGCTGGCCTTTTCTTGCAAGAACATAAACCTCATCAAAGACAATTGGAAATGTTTGTCTCTTATTCAGTGATATAAATTTGTTTGCCACCACACCTCCCTGAAGGATCTGATGATGGAGGCGACGGTGAAGCGACTCAAATTTGGCTGTACTCGTTGCGCAGCCTCCCTTAGTCATACCATGGACAAGGACATGGC